GGTGGGCTTGATTCAGAATCCACAAAGAGGGGCTATGTGGTTTTGCTGGACTATTCAAGAGCTTCGACAACAGGGGAGCAATTGCAAAGCTATGTGGTTTGGAAGGTTAGCAAGGATCAACTCCGAAAGGCACATGTCTTGGCAAATGAGTGCAGGACTAATTTAAGCAGCTTTAGTGTTGGTTAATGTTTTTTTTCGTTCCTCGTTTAGTTTGCTATTGTCAAAAAAGGGGGGGGGGCGGAGGGAGTAATATTTTTTCAAAATATTGACAATTTATTCAATAAATACATCACTAAAAACTAAAAAGGATTAGTTATGAACTATCATAAATCCAACTTTTTTTTTAATAAGACCTAACTTTGAATAAGAAAAAAAAGATAAACTAGCAAAACAAATTTGATAAATAGGACCCATACTTAGAGTCATAAATCCAAATATTTTAAATTTTACAAACTAAATTATCATAAACTACTTGCACAATTTTTTTTAAAATAATAATAAAAAAATTACACAATTTATCTCTTGTCATTTTGTTTTCTTATCAGATTATCACACATTATCACATTAAATACTTAGTGAAAGTGAGAGATAGCTCATGTGGTTAGAGCTTCCATCCCGGTTTCAGGAAGGGTGTGTTCAATTCACCTAATTTTTATTTATCTGAACTAATCTGAACTTATTAGCCCATATTAGAACTTACTTTAGTTGTAAATTAAGCTTGGTAGCCCTGATTAACCCTTTTCACAACTTATGTGAAATTATTTTTCCTGAACTTATCTTATTAACCCTTATCTGAACTTATTAACCTTGAAATAAATGAAAATAAAGTGAACAGAACAGGGCCGAAATTCTACGATCGATTCTCACCCCCGCCCTTGTGGCTCTCTAAACACCAAAAAAAAAATTAAATACTTAGTACTTATTTAGTTCACACTTAATAACACTATAACCTTCTTTCTCTTACTTAACGCCTTGTTTGGATAGCAAAGAAGGAAGGAAAAGAAGGGGAGGGAAAATGGAGGAAGGAAAGGGAAAAGAAAGGGAGGGGGAGGTGAGCTCCATTTTCCCTCCAAATCTCTCCAATTTTGGAGAGATTATGGTTATTAAAGAGAGAGGGAAAATGGATCCCTCCCTCTTCTTCCCCTTCCTTCCCCCAATCTTTTACCCAAACAAGAGATTTTGTCCCCCTCCATTTCTCTTCTCTTCTTTTCCTTCCATTTCTTCTTATTCAAACTAACTGTAACTTTATTATTTATAAAGGTGAAGAAAAGAAGACCTAACTTTATTTCTGTTAGTTTAGTTTAATTAATTGGGCACATGTAATTTGTTTATAAGTTGACCTAACTTGAATATAATCAACAATAAAAATATTCCTCCAAATTGTTTGTAAGTGTCGTTTGGTTATCGTTCATTAATGAAATGTTTTTTTTCTTATCAAAAAATACATTGTTGGATTCGTCATAATGTATACTATCATAATATCAATCTTTGTTATACTTTAATAGGATTTAACATACTTTTGGGTGTTTTGGATGAACTAAACAACTTTAAAAAATGGGTAATGCTATATGTAGCCCTAAAGACCTATATATAAGCATTAAATATACTCTTGAAAATTGTAGTATAAAATTAAGAATTCATGACAAAAACACGCGTAAATAAGTGTACTAAATGTATATATTTTTATGATTTCCTAACTTTGCACGAGTTTTTAGTGTGTATTATTTAATGTTTATATGTAGCCCTAAGGCTATGTATATCATTTTTCTTAAAAAATATAATGAATTTTCAATCCATACTTTTGAAGTTCTTATTTTTATACTCCCCCGTCCCTTTATTACATTTCTGCTTTCCTTTTTCGGTATTTCAAAATTACATTCTTACTTTCCTTTTTTCGTAAGTAAATTGTTACCAAATATCCCAAATTATCCCTATTTTCTGTTTTGTAATTATTGTTTTCTTTATTTTCTCACTCTTATTTTCAGAATCCATGTGCATCAATTTAGATGAATATGATTCGTCTTTTTTTTCCATCAAAAAATGTTATTGGTTCTTTTTCTTTTCAAAGGATCGATGACATGTGCATCATTAAATAGTATTCAATCTTTGTTTTACTCAAAGACATCAATTAATGTCTTGTAATTTCCATTGCACTTTGTTTTATTCCAAGTTCCGGAGGGAGTACCATTTTATTTCATTTGTTTGAACTAAACGCCCCCTATAAAAAAACTTTGTACTTACGGAGTATTATTGACTTTTTATACCATTAATAGCATTGAGGTTTTTTTTTTTTTAATTTTTTTTTTAGGAAATAGCGTTGAGTTTTATTACCTTTGATTTATATATTAGGGAAAAAAAGTATTTAATATGGTATTTTAAAACTAATTTATTGATATTAATGCTATAACAATTAAAATGGCGATTCCTAAAAAAAAAAAAATTAAAATGACGAAATATTTAAATATTTAGAAATAAAAATGTCAAATCTAGTACTATTTCCGTTCCTTCGACTCACTGATTATTTATGTGATCAAAATAAAATAATTTTAACCACATTTTATCATTCATACAATCAAAATAGATTATTAAGTTTGATCTTATTAGATTCCCCTAATGTATGATTAATTTTTCAAATATCAACTTTTCAAAATTTTTACTTATACTTAGCAGAAGTTATTAATGGTCAAAGATGTTTATTGGAGACCGTGTAAATGCAAAGTGAGTCGAAATTTAAATAACGAGTGGAGTACTTTGTATTATGTATATATAGGGGACTAATTCAAAGAGCTGTAGGAAGTGTCTACCCTCACCTTCAAACATAGATATATTCTCCAATCTCTTTTTTTTTTGAGGAAGAAATATTCTACAAATTTTGGGTTTACTAATCTCCCATCTCCCATCTCCCATGACTTCTTAATTCGCTAAAATAAACATAGATTGTTCCAAAAACTTACCAAAGCATTATAATATAAATTTTGATTAATTTTTAAAATGAAACATTGGAAAGTTATATATACGTACTCCATAATTCAATATATATTCTTTTGGATTTTTTTTCTCTCCAAAGATATTTTTTTTTTTTTTTTTTTTCATTCATTCATTCAAACAAATTTGACATCGAAACTGAATAAGGGTTACATGAACTTCGATAATCGGATACCAAGATTGTTGTTGTTAATTTATGTAATGGAGGAATATATATGATGAGATAGTTTGAACGATTGAAAAGATAGAGTTATATTCTAAATTTGTGCACTTAGGAGTGAGGGTAAGGGCCTGTTCCGATTTAATGAAAACAATTAAAATGAACTGATTGAGGCTAAAGTGAACAGAACTGAATAGAGTTGAAATGAATTGTTTATGAGAGAAGGAAATTAGCAATTGAACTGAAGCTGAACAAAACAAACTCTAAATCTATTCTATTAACAATTAATAAAACAGAAGATGCTGATGTCACCACTGCCCACGTGTCGCTTTTTTGATAAAAATTTTCTACCTTAAATACAATGATGATGTCATCTTCTACTCTCTCTCTCTTTAATTTTTTTTTATTTTTTTTTATTTTTTTTGTAGAGCTATCCTATTTAACATTTTTGAAATTTAAATATTAGAAGTTTCTACCTTACAACTAAAACCTATCATTTTACTGTAGGAAATTGAAACAATTTTAAATAGCACACCAATAAATGACCTCCTACGTTAAAACTTTGAATATATCATAATTTTGATGTAAATAAAAGATTTTAAATTACAAAGTTTACGTAATTCTTATTTATAGTCGCGTTGGGTCTGCCGCTCAGTTGAAAGCCAGTTAACGGTCAATGTTAAAAATATGTTTTATATAAAACGTGCATCATATGAGTTCTAACCTAATGGTAAATATAATGACAAAATCAATTCCGGGTCATCTTCAATTTACTTGATCTTTTATGCCTTCAAATTTTCCAACCAAATGTGAATAATGCGATTTAATATTATTTATTGGTTGAATTAAATTTCCTAAAAAAGAATTGTCAATTGAAAATATCATTGGATTCGTATTGATATAAACTTTTCTGATAATTTTTTTTTATTTTTTATTTATTTATTATGAGTATAACTTTTTAAAATTATATATTCATAGCTTTTTAGTGATAAATGATTAAAAAAAATCTAATTTTTTTTTTGAAAGAAAAAAAAATCTAATCTTATTGTTTCCGAATTTAACAAATACGAATGTTTCAAAAAAAAAAAAGAATTTAACAAATACGAAGTATCAACTTAAATAACTTGAATTGAACCTAACCTAAATTACATTTTACTGAATCATTATTTAATTTCTTTTTCACCTGATTGATCAACTAAATTTATACTATACTAATTTCAAATTTGATTCTAAATCATTGGAGTGGAGTCAAATTTATCATCATACGAGTAATTCACAAAACCTTTGATCTCAACCAAAAAAGAGGGAAAATTATGACTCCGTGTGAGAACCCGAGGGCCCCAAGTTGAAATGTATAAACAAAACTTAAAAATAAACCCCTTTTTCTTCAACTTCAGTCCCTTTCCTCTCGTCAAACTCCCCTTTCTACTCTTCTCAACTACACAATTCCACCCTCCCAAAAAAAAAAAAAAAAAAAATAAATTCCACAACAAAAAAGAAATCAATAAAAAGTACCCTTTTTCATATTTCAATTTTCATTTTCATTTTCTCTCTCCTGAAAAAATTAGTTCTGCCATTGCAAAGCTGCAAAACTTTAGCTCAAACCCTCATAAATTTTCTCTCTCCTCCTTTCCATTGAAATGAAATCCAACCAATCACACAAATTTGCAGTAAATGTATTTGTCCCCTTTTAGATACCCCTCATTTACTCCTACCACCTCACTCCCTCACTCCTACTTCTACTTACACCTCTAACAACAACAACAACCCACCTCCTCTTTTTTCTCTCTCCTCCTCGACCCGATTCGGCCCGACCCGACCCGTTTACCCGATGCGACGGCGGCGGCGCCTTTAAATGGGTTGTATCATTAGCCGGAGGCGACCCGCCGGACCTCCACCTCCGGCGCCGGAAAACCCAACTCATCGCCGCCGTGCTTCTTCCCTTTCCTTAGGAAGGGACTCTCTTTCTCCTAATACTAGTACTAGTAGTAAGCTTCCTCGTTATTCGTCTAACTTCTCTACGACTGAGCTCCGGCGCCACGTCATCGACCCTTATGGAGGTGGGCCCACTACCCATCATGGGTGGCCCACTTGGCTTGCTGACGCTGTTGGTGATGTCATTAATCGGTTCTCCCCTCGCCGTGCTAGTACCTTCCAAAAGCTCGATAAGGTTCGTCTCTAAAAGTCCTTCCTGTTTCGCCTTTTAAAGGAAATACGGAATACCCATTTGATTGATTGTTTGTTTTGTTTTTGTGGTTTTTAGATTGGGCAAGGAACGTATAGCAATGTATATAAAGCAAGAGATTTGGTAACAGGGAATATAGTGGCATTGAAGAAGGTTAGGTTTGATAATTTAGAGCCTGAAAGTGTAAAGTTTATGGCAAGAGAGATTATAGTATTGAGCAAACTTGATCATCCTAATGTTATTAAGCTTCAAGGTTTAGTTACTTCTCGAATGTCTTCGAGTTTATATTTGGTTTTTGATTACATGGAGCATGATCTTTCTGGCCTTTCTGCTTCACTTGGTGCTGGTAATAAGTTCACTGAGCCACAGGTACTTTAATTTTTCGATATTTTTTTACTGTTTTCGAGATTAATTGTTACGTTGATAGTGTAATTTGAACGGAAAAACTAAATCTGGGTGGTGGGTAGTATTTGATTTGTTTGGTTGTTTATTGTTTAATCTGAAGTTTTGTAATTTACTTGATTTGGGGTATTTTTAATTATTATTTGTGCTGCTTGTCATTTAGTTTCTTGGGTTCTTTCTTGATAGTAGTTTTGACAGTAGTAATTTAATGGAGAATCTTGAGCAATGGGGGGCCTCAAGTTCTGCAAAAATTTTTGTATCTAATTACAAATTGTGTGGTTATAAAACTAAATTGAGTTTGTCTTCTTATTACTTGGGAAAGTCTGAGTTATCCTGTCCCCTTTTATGCTGATAGAAAAAGCCAAGCAGCTGAGAGTGCAGGATGTGACTGTTTTACTAAGATTAGATGCCTGAGTTTTTGCAATAGCATTTGGACTGGGAGTTATTGTGGTTCATTGGACATTTATCGGTTTTTATCCGAATTTTTAAGTCCAGAGTACAATACTTGTTTGTCGCCCTTATGTTTGTTTTCCCTTACAAGCTTTGCTTATGTTTGTCTTCTTATTTGGATCTGTGATGCAAAACATTATTTTATCAGCTATAACAACATAGCATGTGCCCTGCTTTAGGTGGGGTTTGGAGAGGTTTAAATTTATGCGGCCTTACTGCTATCCATGTTTAAACTGATAGTGAGACTATGTTTGGTTGCAACACATTTCTGGCCATATAATTTTAAATTGTTGTGTCGGACTTCATCTGGCGATTGATACCCAGGAGCATATCAACCACATTAAATATCATGTTTTAGTGCTCTAGCCCTTGAATCAGAATATAATATTTGGTTGTTGTACTCTTAAATGTTTCTATAGATAAAAAAAAATCTCTGGATTTGGCAGTTTTCTTACTAAGTATCTTGAGAAGATTGTCTAAGCTCTTCCAGTCTTCCCCTCTTTTTTGCATGGAGTTGCATCAGAGAGATCTGTGGATGGATTAAGTTCCTAATAGGTCCATCGATTTAGTGTATATTGTATATGCTCTCAGAACTCTGACAAGAAGCTTAAGATTTGTCTAATATCAGACATTCCTGGGAAAAAAAGAAACCTTTAGTTTTTGTAGATGTTTTCAATGAAAGCAAACCTTGTTTCTTCCCTGCAAATCTCATCATTGTCTTTGAGCTGAAATTTAAGTAAAGCCAGCATTTTTGGAAATTATATTAGGCTTCAGCTAGATTTAGGGAAAATTACATGTTGATGGTCTGAGGTAGACATATCAGGATTACTTTGGGAGATTCACAGCAGCCCGTGGTTATTCATGAACAATGACATTCTGTCTAAAAAAGTTTAAATGGGTGGTGCTAATATGTGAGAAAGGGTGTGAAAGCCATTTTGGGACTTTGGAGATCCAGAACTAACCATCTTTCTTCATTCTCATGTAAATTATAAAGATACGAGTTCCATCTTTCTTCATCCTGAATGGGTCAATGTGATTTGACGAAGCTTGGAGTATGAAATAAAGAAATTGAAACTTTGGGGCTGTTTGGTTGGCCTCATTGGAAAGAAGGAATTGAGAAAGAGATAAGAAAGCTGGAAAGGAAAGTTTACAAAATCGCCCAATGCCCTATGCTGTTTGGTTGAATGAAGAAAGTGACCTGAAACCCTTTGTGACTGTATGTTACACAGATGCATATTCAAGCAGAATCAAACTCTCTTTCTTAACTTCCAGCCATTTCTTCTGACTGCCGGCATTTTACAAATAGTACAATCACCACTGCTCTTCACCAATAACCAAGCCACTGCTGGCAAGTTTGATAACGGGTTACAGTTGGCATGTGGCATCTTCCATTGCAACTGAAGGCACTGCCTTCCAACATTATAGAAGGATATGGATAATATGGTCAATTTGAACATCAAATCTCTAGATCCAGAGCATTCATGGTCAAAATACACCATTTAAATCTTTAATTAGAATGTTGATGTCTGTCTCTCCTTTTCTTTTTCTCTCTAATTTGTTGGTGATCAGGGTGGTTACGACTGTGAGTATGTGGCACATTGTTGGTGAATGTGAATCTTGTGATGGCCATGGGGTTTAGGATGTTAATTATCATGGTCATGCGGTATTAACTTGGTGTTTGAGGTGACTAGTGATGATAAAGTTATGGCGGTGCAAATGGTGGTGGTTGATACTTTGGTAGTGGTCAAGTTATGGAAGTGGCTGGTGGCCTTGGGTCAAACTGGTGGTTGGGTGATGGAGTTAATTGGTCAAAGATGGTCAAGGGGAGTCATGGTGTGGACTGTGGAGGAAGTTGGGGAAATTCTCAACTCCCAAGTTGGGTTGGAGAATCTGTGTAGAGCAATATTTGGAAACGCTGCAAGCAGAAGGGGAGAAAGAAATAAAAAAAATGTCAACTAAACAATCACCAAGGAAAAACAGGGTTAAATTTCCTTTCCCTTACCTTTCTGCCCCACCTTCCCAAGAATCCCAACCATATAGCCACTTAGTGTTTTAGTTATGTACAAATAGATATAGTTTGATGTAGTTCAATCTATATTATACTAACTTTTTTGAGTGTTATAAGTATGAAAATACTCCTAAGACACTTGTAATATTTTTGGGATCTAGGATTTCATCTGAAATTTTAGAATTGGAGCAAATGAAGTGTTTGGCAAACAAATGAATTTGTAATTAGAATTTATCCAGATCCACAATACTTTAACATTCTGTAGATTAGTAATTTTAAATTACTTTAGTAAAGTTGTCATTTCAAATTCTGAGCTACATCATATCGCTAACCTTTCCCCTTTTATTCTTCTGTCTTCTATTTGTTGTCTGAATAACAGCCACAGTAGCTATATGAGATGAACTTTTGAATTGTTTATGACAATGGTTACGGATTAATAAACTGATGGGTGTAAATATGGAGCTTGTGGTTTATGAGGAGATAATAATTTCTATGCTTAATCAATAAGGTTCGATCAATATTCCTCTTTCTCTCTTCTCTCTAATATTCATTTTCTCTCTCCTCCATCTGCCTCCTAAATGAAACTTCAAGTACAATATGATTTCAGAATTTCTGGAATTCAAACTTTATGATCCAAACACACAATTTGGATGTAAAATTCATCAATTACAATTCCACAATTGAATTCCAGTATTTGAAATGAATGCTGAGTTCCCAAATGCACTCTTATAGGGATTGCTGAATTCACCCTTTTTTTTTTTTTTTTTTTTTTGACAATCAATAAGAAAGAAATAAATTCAACTTATATTTGATACTTTCTCCTTAGGTAACCCAAATAATTTAGGGGTTTAACACTGAATAGGATTTCTGAATGAATAAGTTTTTTTATTGTATTCAAGAATTCGAGATGAATGTAAAAACCTTATGATTGGTGCCGGCTTAATATATTACGTTCTGTCGTTTGTTAACTGGTGCAGTATGACACCCCTTTGTGAGGCAGTGAGGCAGTAGATTTGCTGTTGAAATGGTACCTGCAGTTTACGACTTGTGAGAGAATCATTAATAAATGACTGAAGATTTGGTATAATCTGTGACTGGCTGCCTGCACATGCCACTGCAAGCTTATGATAGATAACGAAGTAAAGAATGAAATTAAGGCTGCCACCCTGACCAATGAGGCAAAAGCTTGCTTAAATCTTTCTTTAATAGATTTTTCCTCGGATATTATGTATAGCTGGATGTGTTAATAAAAGGATACTATTTCTTTTTCTTCTACACACTGATCCATTCCAATTCTGTTGTATCTCAATTTAATAACTTCATGCGCTAAATATGTTTTTGCTGCTCTGAGTTTCATTTATTAGCTGCCTGATTCAAATGATTAAGGCTGACTGATTAGTGATCACTGAATGATTTTTTAGGTAAAGTGTTTCATGAAGCAGCTAATATCTGGGCTTGAGCATTGCCACAACAATGGAATTCTGCACCGTGACATTAAAGGCTCCAATCTCTTAATTGACAATGAAGGAGTTCTTAAGATAGCTGATTTTGGATTAGCTACAATTTACAATCCTAGTCAAAAGCAACCTATGACCAGTCGAGTTGTCACCCTGTGGTATCGTCCTCCAGAACTGCTTCTTGGAGCCACAAATTATAGTGTTGGTGTTGACCTTTGGAGTGCTGGCTGCATTCTGGCAGAATTACTAGCTGGAAAGCCAATTATGCCAGGGCGGACCGAGGTGTTGCATTTCTCCAAGATCTCATGATTTGATTGACAATTTTTAAGCTTCATTCTTGCTATATGTCCTTTATCCTTGTCTGGGATACATTTCTCACCGTAGACCATGTTTTTTTCTAGGCTAAATGTTTTGAAGTTTTGTTCTAGACTTGTAATTCACATTTATATCTATTGTGTGGCCAGGTAGAGCAGCTTCACAAGATATTCAAGTTGTGCGGCTCTCCTTCTGAAGAGTACTGGAAAAAATATAAGCTACCAAATGCTACTCTTTTCAAGCCACAGCAGCCCTACAAGCGTTGTATTTCAGAGACCTTTAAAGAATTCCCCCCTTCTTCCCTCCCACTGGTTGATTCACTTCTTTCAATAGATCCTGAAGGACGAGGCACTGCTACTGACGCTTTAAATGGTGAAGTGAGTATTTTATTGGACACTGCATGTTTTGAACTGAAAAATTAAAGGCTCATCTTTGAACTCCTTGTGTCATGTATGATAATTTATATTATTCACTCGTCAACATGTGTCCACCTTCCACAAATAGAACAATCTCAGGCGTAAAAAGAGAAATGGAGATTTGAATAGCAGTTAGGCTGCTCAGCTTGATCTTATTGGCTGTTATTGCTTTTTAGTTTGATGATCTGATTTCACATACATACATTGGTTGTGCTATTTAGCTATTGCAAGTAAAGATGGTGTCTTCTTTTTACCCCCTCCCCCCTCCCCCCTCCCTAAATGAGATGAAAGAAAAGGTTGGTTTGATATGTAAGCTTACATAAATTAATTGGTTGCCTTCATGTATAGTTCTTCTCCTCTGAACCTCATGCTTGTGAGCCGTCTACTTTGCCAAAGTATCCTCCCAGCAAAGAGTTAGATGTAAAGCTACGGGATGAAGCTGCAAGAAGGTTTACACTACCTCCACTTTTATTGCACTTGTTTTATATTATTTCCCAAAAAAAAATAAAAAATAAAAATAATTGCACTTGTTTTATATTGTTATACTTTCACTAAATTTGCCAGTTATCTTCATAGTGCTTACTGTCAAATTGCCACCTTCATAATAGGCAAAGGGGCTTAAGTGGAAAATCTAGCATTGCTGATGGTGCCAAGAGAGTTAGAATACGTGACCGGGCTGGCTGTGCAATTCCTGCTCCAGAGGCAAATGCTGAGCTACAAACAAATTTGGATGTATGTTGAACAATCTTTATTTAATGTGTCTGTTTTTTCCCTTTTGCTTTTTCCACTGTATTTGGTAGCCTTTTTTGGGTTTCTTCACTGCTGCCTTCTACATTGCATGTCTCATCAGTAGTTTCAGGAATGTGCTGCAAATGATATCCAGTTTAAATCAGCTACTTTATATAAGGAAAACACTAAACAGAATTCGTAAAATTCAACTTTAATCACTAAAACTTAGTTTTGGACTTTTGGTTTGTCAAAATCTTTTCACTGAAATCCAGTTTTAATCAGTTTTAAATTCCATTAAATCAGTGAAATTCAGGTTAAGAGAACAATGCCTTTGAAGTTAAACTACTTGCATTGTTTATTATTGTTTAGTTTCAATGCAAAATTTTGATTGATTAATATCTTAAAAATGCTACAAGTTAAAAAGTATGAGAAGTTGATGTTCCTGTGCTAGTATTTATAGAGATGAATTTGTTTTCCTTGCGAGAAAAATACTACAGATATCTGTCTTGTTATGGGATGCAGCAACTAATTATCTACCTTTGAGTTTTCCAGAGGATGAGATTTGTGACACAAGCAAATGCAAAGAGCAAAAGTGAAAAGTTCCCTCCGCCCCATCAAGATGGAGCTGTTGGAGTTCCTCTGGATACTGCCAGTAACGGTCCTCTGTCCTTTGGCCCAACTGAGCATTCCTTTGATACATCACATTTGAAGCCTGCATTGTCAAAGTCAAGAAGTGTAACGCCTGCTGAGGGGACTTCAAGGAAGAAGAGAACCAGTAAAGATCAGGACTTGGCTTCGTCGTGGAAATTCTTCCATGCATGGAAACCATCAACCATTGGGCTGTCTATGGATCTAATGTTCAAGGGTAAAGGGTCAATGACACGGGTATCTAGCAGTAGAAAGTAAGCGCGCATATTCAACTTCTCCCTTACACAAACTGAAGGGACATTCTTCAATCGTAACTGTGGTCATAAAATTTTTACTTTTTTAAGTTATGGAGGTGTAGTATGGAACGCAACCGTGCTGGAAGTTTTTGTATACTAATACACAAGGTTAGTTGTACAGTTGGTCATAGCTAATGCTACCTATTTTGATGTGTCTGATATTGTCTATATGCTACGAAGTTTCTATTAGTGACTCATTCAAAATTAAAATTATTTACCCCTTCGTTTTAAAGCTACTTCAACCATCCAGTTTGCCACTACTAGCTCTTTTGCCTCAACAGATGAACTTTCTAATCTTACTTACAAATAACATTTTAAGGGAGTTTATGACGATGTATATATTTGATTCAATTCTAGCTAGGTTACGGCCTCATGGGTTCCACCCCCTATTCTTCAAACATTTTTGCTCACATTATTCTCATAGCTAGGTCGCAATACAATTTCAATAACGCATTAAAAGATTGAGTTAGTGTTCACTTCACCTAAATTTCACTAATGTTTTATATTGTATACACTTGGACCTTAGTCCTTCCCGTGAAATTTTTTCCATATTGATAGGATAATCTGTCATTTTTTTTTAAAAAAAAAAAAACATAATTTTTTACTAATTAATGATTAAAAATATCAATGATCAAACTTATGGATTTTTGAATACGCCCAAAAATGCGATTTTTTATTTTTATTATTTATTTATTTTTTTATGAAAGAGGGAGTACAAGTATCATAATCCGTATATGTATGGCCTCATGGCCCTCTGGCCTCATCTAGCCACGCTTACTAATTAAAGAGGGTAGCTGTGTAATTAATTAGACCTTGATTGGATGTATATGTCTACCCAGTACCCACCATTTTGCATGATTATATATTTTTTCTATCATTTTACTATCTTGGACTTGGATAATACATGCAAACACAAACTTTGAAAGTACTAGTAAATGGATACTGATTTATACGTAAATGGATACTAAGCTATCCGTAAACATCTATAATATTATTAAAACTGAAGACCTATTAAAAATTAATGCATGATTGATTTAGGTTTTGAACCATTAAATTTAAAACATTTACCATCAAACTATCAATGTCTAAAATAGATTAAAACTAAACATTGTAGCTTTCTAATTTGACCATAATCTTCTTATTTTACAATTTTGTATTAACTACTCAATATATTATTTCAATTAATAAGCAAATATAATTTTTTTTTTTTTTTAAATTTCAACTTTGGTTCTCATTGAAATTTTGTAACTGTTGATCGCCATCAAATATTCCCACTATAATTTCTTAGTTTCCTCTTCTAATGTCTAATCAAATCGACAATTTTTTTTCAAAAAAAAAAAAAAATTACTACTTGTATAATCAAAATACAAGCACTGTTTGAGTGAAATTTTTATATACACCCGAATGCTTGATCATCAATACAGAAGATTTGCGGTTTCATTCTAGTAAAAAGATATAAAATAAAAAATACTCGTATATAATAGTATTTTAAAATTATACTGTATGATGATCAATTGAGATTTTACATAATCATAAAATATAGCTAAAAGAGTTTGTGAATTGCAAATTGACGTCACTGATGACCATTTGAATGAAGATCTTAGTGAATTATTCTTATAATCTGGATTATATGGATAATAACTTTATTTTTTTGGATAGCATAAGGATGATAATACAGCTACGAAAAAATAAATGGATAAATAAAAAAAATCAAATTTGATATGATACATTGACAGATTAAGATATTAATCCTTGAGATAAACCCACAATCTCATAGGATAACTATCAAATGACAAAGATATCAAATTAACAAAAAATAATCATTTATAATTTTCCCTATATAAACCCTTCATCCATTAATCAAAATTCACAAGAATAAAAATCATTTATTATTGTGTGATTAAACCTAAAAAGAGAGAAATTCAGGATATAATGGGGAAAGGAGCAAGTGCTAGTGATGTTGCCTCTCTTTCAGAGAACAAGGCTGCTTGGTTATATGGAGTTAATGATCTTCGCATTCTTCCTTTTAACCTCCCTGCTCTCGGTAATTAACTTATACTCGTCTAGATTTAATTGTCACGTTAATAGTTTAATTTAAACTAGTTATGTATTTTAGCACGTGACAATTTTATATTACTTTATTTTGTTTGTGACAGGACCTCAAGATGTGAGAGTAAGAATGAAGGCTGTTGGGATTTGTGGTAGTGATGTGCACTACTTGAAGGTATTTTCATATGTTACATATACATTATGCAAATTATTAAATTAAATAATATTTTCATAATTAATTGTAATGCTAATTTGATTGTATTATGGTTAATTTGATTAGACAATGAGCTGTGGTGACTACCATGTGAAAGAGCCTATGGTGATCGGTCATGAATGTGCTGGGATCATTGAAGAAGTCGGTAGCGAGGTTACCTCACTCGTTCTGGGGGATCGAGTAGCTCTTGAGCCCGGGATTGGTTGCTGGAGGTGTGACCGGTGCAAAGAAGGGTCATACAATCTCTGCCCTGATATGCGCTTCTTTGCTACCCCTCCCATTCATGGATCTCTTGCTGATCAGGTTTATATCTAATTGATACATATGTTAATTATTGATTATTCATTATTATAAGGTCCACTAATATGGTATATGAAATTCATGAATGTTATGTGTATGTAGATTGTGCATCCTGCAGACTTATGTTTCAAGCTGCCTGAAAATGTCTCATTGGAGGAAGGTGCAATGTGTGAGCCATTGAGTGTTGGTGTGTATGGTTGTCGCCGTGCTAATGTTAGTGCTGAGACTACTGTCTTGATCATTGGTGCTGGACCTATTGGCCTTGTTGCCTTGCTATCAGCTCGTGCTTTTGGCGCGCCTAGGATTGTTGTGGCAGATGTGGATGATCATCGTCTCTCTGTTGCAATGAGCCTTGGTGCTGATGGAATTGTGAAAGTTTCATCAACTAAGGAGGTTTGATAATGCTTTACAAATTACCTATAAACTACTTGACAACTGTTATTTTTGAAACGAATATCTAATTTTTTTTTTTCCTTACAGTTTGTTTCAGCTGAGGTTGATGAGATTAAGAAAGTGATGGGAAAAGATATTGATGTAACTTTGGATTGTGCTGGTTTTGAGAAAACTGTCTCAACTGCTTTCGGTGCTACTCGTAATGGTGGTAAGGTTTGTTTGATTGGAATGGGTCATTGCAACATGACCGTTCCTCTTACCCCTGCTGCATCAAGGTAAACATAGATTATAAATTTTGATCAATCATGAAACATTGTGATATTAAAGTTATTTTTCAAGAAAGTTTATGTATCAATTTTGTTATGTTGTCTATATGACAGGGAGGTGGATGTGTTGGGAGTGTTTCGTTACAAGAATACTTGGCCACAATGCATTGACTTCATAAGCAGTGGGAAGATTGATGTGAAGCCTCTCATTACTCACCGATTTGGATTCACTCAAGAAGATGTCATGAAGGCTTTTGAAACAAGTGCTAAGGGTGGCAAAGCCATTAAGGTCATGTTCAACCTTTAAAGGGTTGACTATATATACTATATATATATATATATATATATATATATATATATATATATATATATATTATATATATATATATATATATATATTTTTTTATATATATATATATATATATATAAAAAAAAAAAAAAAAATAATATATATATATATATATATATATATATATATATATATACCATAGCATACAATATGTGTAAAGATCCCTAAGATTGCACATCTATATATAAATGCTATTATGCAATGAATTTCAAATTATAAATCTCTATTTCAAGTATTATAATTTTCGTTGATCAACAAATTATTAAAGGCTTGAGTATAGATTTTTGATCATTTGCTAGCTACTTGCAAGATAATTAACAATTTCATCATCTTTAAAACGGTGTTTTCCAATAGGCAGTGATCATTTGCACTTGTGCAAAGCAAATTTTCCCCTGTAACCTGAAGGTAGGTTTGGGGAGTGGGAATTTTCACTCTAAAATGCAATGGTGCACTATTGTATTTAATTTTCTTTGTACAAACTTATCAAAACTTATTTTTTTAGTTTGTGAGTATTATTTTTACTCAATTTTCTTTTATCAGAACGTAATTTTTGAGTTTGTATATGAAAATTAGTTGTTTTAATTGAGTACTAAGTAATAAGAATAGATCATTCAGAGTATGTACAATACAAAAATCCTAGGAAGGGCCTTCCCAATACCCAGAGCTCGAAAGCTTCTTACAGATGCTGACAGCTACAACTAGCACTGGCTGCAGCATGAGAGCTGAGAAACATATGCACTTGTTGTTCAGTACAAATTGAAGATATGTGGGGTGGGGCTGGTGGTATAGAGTTTAGCCTGGTGATCCGAAAACTTGATAAAATGATGTCTTAGCTATCGTACTGTAGTCATTGCTCTTGAAGGAGGCGCTACAATAGAGAATATCGTACTGTAGTCATTGCTGTTGGAGGCTCTACAACAGAGAATCTGTAAAAAAAGTTGTTGCATATACAGAAATAAGTAGACTACTTGATATGATATAAGGATTCGACATGAATAAATATTATTTATCATCGTATTAACTTTTATACCAATCTGTCATCTAATACAAATTTTTATACTAATTTGTTATATTTGACTTATTTTAATATGAATACATTAATTATCGGTTAGAATTTTTATACCAAAATGCCGCGAGGGAGATAATTTTTATACAAATGAACTCCGTAGCTAGTTGTCCCTTTGATTTGGGTAATAAATCAAACTTTGGGTCACTTAGGGCCTGTTCACATTTATTGAACTTAGCTGAATTGAACTAATTGGAGCTGAACTGAATTGAGCTGAACTGAATATTTTATGAGAGAGAGAAGTGAATTTAGCTGAATTGAACTAATTGGAGCTGAATTGAGCTGAACTGAATATTTTATGAGAGAGAGAAGTTACCTCTCAAGTGGTGAGACTCAAGTGAATATTTTTAAAAAATAGAGAGTATTTTTTGCAATGTATACCAATAAGTTAGTACGAAGTATTTAAACTTAGTAATTCCAAAAGAAAGTTGCTAAGTTTGGATACCCAACTTTGAGTCTCATTTGACAAAAAGTGTGGGCCCTTTGTCAATATTCTAATTTATATTTTGTAATTTATTTAAATTTTACTTTTTTTTTAAATATCACATATTTGATAATAAAAAAGAAATGAATTTGGTCAGCCATAATTAAAAGTGACATTTGTATATTTTAGAGAGTCGAAATTATGTTTTACATGAGTTGCTAAATTGAGAAGTGAGTATGATATAACCATTAGAGGTAAAAAAAACAACTCATTTTTTATTTAAATATTTAAATTTGAATCTCATCGTTGAAGATGGTCTTATAGATTAGTAACTTACGTAGTATAAAATAATTTGGCTCTTTCATATGAGGAGTACTAACTCTCCAACTCAGATCATCATCTCTTTTGCTTAATTATGAATTCAATTGCCGATATGAGAATTATGGAGAGGGAACTCTAACGGGTCGGCAGATTGCCGTAACATCCATTTGCCGCCGGAATTATTGTTGGAGATCTTGACATGGCTACCTTCAAAAACCCTTTTAAAACTCAGGTCTGTTTGTAGAACTTTCATTGATTCTTCCAATTTCATTCCTTTGCATCTGTACAACTAAAATTCCCAAAAATTTACTCATCATCTGATAGCTATTGAAAGATTTGTGGGTGTTTATGTTTTTTCACAATTCTTAGTAGTGACACATTGAATAAAGTTGCACATCTTGTTGAATTGCTTGAACCATATTCAATTTCTGGAAACTGTAATGGGTTGACTTTGTTGACATACAGTACAAATGCCGTTCGATTGTGGAACCTTCTATAAGAAAATCTTGTTTCTTCCCCGTTGTCCATTTGCGACTCGTTGGGGTAGAATTCGTCGTTGTTGTGTAACTTATGCTTTAGAATTTTGCCCTTCTAGTAATGATCATAAGGTGCTTGCCATTAAGACTAATATTAGTAAGTTTAGTGATGATAAGACCTATATAGTTGTTTACTCACGGGAACTTCTCTGATTCTCATATTGAGAAACGAAATTTGTTTCTCATGAGGGCATTTTCGTGAATAAATTAACAATTTTTTTTATTATTGTGGAATTCACAATTGAATAAAGTTGTTGGTTTATTTACGAAAATGTCATCTCACTATGAGAAACTGGGGCATCCTCTTTATGCACTTACTGATCACCTTTGGAGGGTTAAACACAATCCGGTGAGTGAGTCGAGTTGGGCTATACGAGGTTTAGGCGTTGTGGAGGGTTAGTTTGTTACAGAGGGGGGTAGTATATTGGATTGATAATGATTTATACAGAAAACCTGGAGCTAATAGGAAGCTCTACTTGTATGACTTTGATGTCGAATAATTTAGTGTTATGCAATTGCCCGATTCTGTGTAAGAAAGGACTGATAGGCTTATTTTTGCCCATGGCGAGTTTTTAGCAGTTTTATTGATGTCCTCTGAAAGTATCTGCATATGGGTTTTGAAAAAGGATGGTGGAGAGAATCCATGGAGGCTTTGGTTTTCAGGAGAGCCAAATTTAGGTGCTGTATATGGTAAAAATGGCTATATGTTTTTGTCGAACAACACTCTTGCTACAATGTCTTATGACTTTGCAAGCAACCAAATGCGAACTTTGGAAAAAAAAAAAAAATCATGAGTAGCTGGATTTCTTTCCAGACTTATGTCGAAAGCTTGGTTTTGCACAATGGTTTTAATGAGACTATCACATCATTCCTATGAAATTGATGAAGTGTTGATAATGGCTGATTCTGGAAGGTCACATGTAATACTTGCTCTTAATTATGTGATTTTTTTTTCCCACTTACATCTTCTAAAATATGTGAAATACACATTATGATATATTAATTGTCTTTTGTCGTGCTTTAAAATGCATTGTTCAGGAAGACTTGTTTTTTGTTGTTCTATATAGATATTTTTTGAACTTGTCCTTATATAGGATCATATAACCTTTTATCTCATTTACCTAACCATAAGTGAATGAGGTTGCATTCCCTTTACCTTTAAACACAAAACAATTTCTAATCCATCACCAGAGTTGAACAATGAATAATTACTCCCCTCAATAATGTGGTCTATCCTATATGCCCTTCCAAAATCTACTCATCGTCACAAAGTAAGTATTTAAGGTAATTTTGTTAATGAAAAAAAAAAAATCGGAATCACTTAAATAGAAATTATTTGGAATAGGTTATTTTTGTAAGAAACTACCTTATAAAGTTGAGATTTTGTGAAAATTACCTATTAAAAACATGTAGTTAACTACCTTATTAAACCCAAAATATTGTAAGTTGCTACGTTTGCCTGATATCCCTTGTTGACCTTTTTTGGCATTGAGCTACCTAAGTGACCTAATATATTTTTTATTTATTTATTTATTATTTTTTTTTGTTTTGGGTTTATTTACAGTGCTAACAGGTGTAATGATGTGACATAGGGTAAAATGGTAATTAGTTTTGTCATCATTTGTGTCTATCCATGTCTTGAAAATAAGGTTGGTGACTTGGTGTTAGTATTCTCAATGTAATTATGATCCGAATTAGTAGAATTGAACGTGGGAGGTTTGTGGTGAAAAATCAATGCCAAGTCTGAGTCAGTAAGAATACTAGTGAGATGTTAAGTAAGATACAAGTAAGAAGTTTGCTTTAGCACATTCTTGAGGCAGTGTTGGATCTTCACCTATAAGTGAAGCATCAGTCTTCACTGTGGAGTCTTGATCACCCATCTAACAAATAGTGCTTTAAAGTATTATGAGTGAATGAAAACCCCTGGTGTCTTAAGATAAACAGGTTTTATATAAGATCTTAATTATTTGCGGATTTAATCTTAAGCTTTGACTCTCTGTTGAAGGCTTTCAAGTTCTAAATATGATTATCTCCATACCAAAATGAGTAACGTGAAAATAGCAACACTTTACTACAATAAGCAGATCATAAACATTTAAAAAATAGTCTAGTAGTCACAACAAGGAACTGGAGAGGAAGCATTTGATGAATACTTTTTGGGAGAAATGTAAATCCATGAAGTTTTGGAGGGAGGTTTGGCAGGTTGCCAGTGTAATATTCTAGCTAAGTGTTTTTGTGTAAAACAGGAAGTTCTCTAGACTGTAATTGATTTCTTAGTTACATTCCTGTGCATTATAAGCGTAACGAAAACATTTGCAACACACATCTGCTAGCCATTGAATGTTTAAGCTGTGCATATGAAAGCTGCTCATATTCTGAATAATCTATAATTCATATTTTCATACTTTTTTGTTGGCATTGTTTTGGACTGATGCCTATATAGAAGCCCACCCGAGACTCTGAAAGGATGAGACAAGAGTGTAGATCCCCTGCATGAGAAAGTGCTTGTTACTTCCTCATTGTCTTTTCAATTCACTGGTATTCAGGTTATTATACAATTGTTCCTTTGGGGTTTCAGTTGTGTAAATGTAATTAATCTACTCAATAGTGATTTGTGGACCATCGAATTCTGATAGGATAAATCTTCTTGATTAGCATCTACAAAATGGAGGTGGGTACGTATTCTTACAATGCTGTGATGATACCTAATGTAATTTGAAACAAGGGACATATCTTTTTCTCCATTGACTTTGATGTCAAAGAATTAAGCTTTGTGAAACTGCCAGTTGGTGCAAAAGATATTAGAGTCAGGTCTAAAACTTCTTCCTCTGTGATTTATTAGTAGTTTTCACCGTGTCTTCTTAAGGAAGCTTCATACAGGTTGATAAAAGGAGGATGGAGAGGATCAATGGGGCTATGTCTATGTAGAGATTCTAGGTGATTGCTAGCTACTTTCTTCCATACATTTTTTTTTTTTTTTTTTTTTTGATAAAGCTTACAATATAGTGGAGTCATTTGGGGAAACAGAAATCTTTAGTAGATATCATTTCGTACTTGTGTGGATAGATTGGTGTTGCATAAAGTATATGAAAGGTAGACTTTGACATTTCTATGGTTAAACTTATAAGAATTGCAGATGCACTTAACTAGGTATCTCTTGCATTTCTCATTTTATAAAATTTTGCTAGCTTAACATGCTATAATTATACTTGCATTTATGTTTAGCTATTCATGACATACATTACTCAAGGATACTTAATGTTGTTATTCCTTCGGATTACATTACATTTTTGTCCCATACAATAAATTCTGACTCAAGTTATGTTCCCTGTGTTGTTTTTGCACATCCTCTTAATCGGGATTCAGCACTTTTTCATTTTCTAATCTGTTGGGTTTACACTTTTACGACTTATCCACTGAATGAAAATTTCTTTGGAATGTGTGATTTCTTCCCTATTTATTTATGAGATACAATTAAGGGAATGTGATTTGTTAGGCACAAATACACTATATATATGTATATATTCTTCGTTATTCGACTTGCTTTGTTGGTTTTCTCTAGTAAAATTTTAAGGTATAATGAATGCTACTCTTATACTAGATATGATTGCAAATCTGTATTTTCCTTGTGAGAAGGGTTTCCTACTGTTTTCTTTTTCTTTCCTATATAAAAAAGTATTGCAAATCTGCATGAGTATTAGCCTTGTATAGTAATTTGTTCAAGTGCCAATGTTATTGGTATAAGGATGAAGCTTTCTAATAGTTATGGACCTTATGGTTTGCTATCAGATTTTCTTTGTTACATTTGTACTTTAATATCTGCATTTTATCCAATTTAATTGTCATAGACTTTTTTTTCTGAACAAATTGTCATAGCCTTGTTACTGAATGGATTATTTGCTGATTTGCTCTTTAAAGAGATGCATACTAGTAGCGCCCGCTGCCTGAAGTTGCTAAATGCCCAGTTTATTTTCTGTTGCTACTGCCGCTCTACCATGGTGTAATATACTGGTGTGTCTAAGCTCACATGTGAAATCTTGAATGTATGCATAAAACTCATATGTAAGACTGTCATATTTTGGCTGATGAATGTATGGCCTGTATCAGTTCAGCCCAAGTACATGCAATTATGCTAGCCTGTTAATTAGTAAGTGCAAAATGTATGTCCTTAATGTACTTGTGTATTGTAATTTATAAGTACACTTCAAATTATATTGGTCCAATATGTTTTTAGGTATCAGACTATCAGGTTCTGTTATTCAGGGACTATTCCCCTTAGCTTTTGTTCAACTTATATGTTTTTAATGGCTTTTATGGTTTATAATTAAGAGGATTATGACATATGAGCTCTTGTTAGATTTGCATCCAATAAGTCATTACCAAATACAAAATATTCTGCATAAGATTATGCCATTGTGGGTTAGAAACCTAAGCTTAATCGGATTGATATTTCTCTCAATGGATTGCATGATTTCCATTATTTTTTTATTTTTTTATTTTTATTTTTTTCTTTTTTTAATTCTTTCTCTTGGATCATTTACATTAATAGTCCAACAAAATTAAAACTCCTTTGGACATTGGATTACATTATTTTGTCGTCCAAGGAGTCATTTGCTACCCCTGTATTTATTTTATTGTGCATTTTATACATTTTTAGTTGATTTAAGGAGCAGCCTTGCAGCATGGTTGTTCGGTTTGCAGATGAAAACCTGCTGCAGTCAGCACGTAATCAAGATATAGGGAATTGGTTGTCAGAGAGTAACTGAAGGGTACCATCAAGTATGATATTAACTTGCAAACTTTGGCATCAACTTATTTTGAGGTCATTAACCCGAAAGAAAGTGAACTGATGTGGGAGCATTAGACTTGGTTAATGTGGTAAAAATGTCATAAAGAGTCAGTTTCATGGATGATTCTAAAGCTTTTGTAAAAGGATTCTTGGATGGTCAACTCTCGGATTGACTATCCTATGTCTTGAGTAAGGTCTGATAGCTTGGAGAGTTGGGAGGTCTTTGGTCAAGTTTTAAAGCTGTCAATGTGCGACCACTTGGAGGAGAAAGTTGTGTTTAAGAGTTTTTAATGCATAGCCTATAACATAACTTATACAGAGTAATAAGCTAGAATTGTAGATCACTAAATTTACCTTAGCACAGCCATATCGTAAATTACTGTCACCCGTGCACATCAAGTCGTGCAAGAGGGTTTGTGTGTCTTTGTATTCTAGATTTATTTAGGGGTTTTAGAAGCAGTAGTCACCCTATAAGGTGATTGACTGATTGTTCTTTTCTATTTAGGGGTTTTAAAAGCAGTATGATAAATATGAAATATAAAGGTTTTCTGAAATTTTTGGCGAGCCTTGTAATTTTTTTTTTGTTTATTTATATACTCCGTATCTATTTTATTAAAGATATATCCATTTAATTTTTTTGGTAAGGAAGAAGAGTTTTAGGTAACCATATATTATGGGAAGCCTGATAAAAAGTTGATTATATTTTTTTGGCAAGCCTTGTAAATTGTGTGGAAGCTTGTCAATTTTTTTTTTTTTTTTTGGTTATAAAAGATCAAGTACAGTTACTTAGCCAATATGGAGTACTTTTTTAAACGAGGCTATAAGATTGCCAAGGTTATAGAGCTTTATTGCTACAAAAATTTTGCCAAATTTTCATTGTGAGAGAGGGTGATTGATGGATTTATCAGAGCACAATTACTTGCCATGGGACCTAATAATAGCGATACTGGCGATGGGATCTAAATTTTACTCTGTCTATGGTTGATGTTGGTGAGGCCGCCGTCCTACCTGTGCCCTCGAACTCCCTTGAGACTGTGGAACCCGTCTATTAGGAAGTCTTTGATTCTTCCCCTTTGCCCTTTGGTCTCCGCAAGATATGCTCCTTGTAATGATTACAAAGTGGTCGCTTTTAAAACGAAACATAATTTAAGGGTGTTACTAAATGTCACAAGGAAATTACTTAGGGCGCGGTATTAAATGACTCATCTACCCTTATAAATTCTATGTTTGACATTATTCAATTTTTCTCACCAATTATACTCCTTCCACCACCATCACCCTAAACACCATCACCACCACCACCCTAAGGTCACCAGAATCACCATCACCGTACACACATTACCACCACCACCCTAAGGTCGTCGGAATCATCCAATTTCTCACTATCTATCACACCAAATCAACCACTTATCATACCAAATCAACCGGAAAGGAAGGGGCTGACGACAATGGAATCGCGGCGTGGGAAGGGGGTTCGTTTGCCGGGAAACGCGGGGAAAACGCCGGCCAATTCGTCGGTAATTTTTTTTTATTTTCGCATAAAATTGCATAGTCGCGTGCTATATGCGACTCCACCATGGTACAGTCGCATATAGCATGCGATTACACCGTGGTGGAGTCGCATATGGCGTGCAACTATACCGTGGTACAGTCGCATATAGCATGCGACTCTACCACGCGACTCTACCATGGTGTAGTCGCATGCTATATGCGACTGTACCACGGTATAATCGCATGCTATATGCGACTACGCCGTGATGGAGTCGCATATAGCACGTAACTATAGTTTTTTTTTTTTGAATTTAAATTTCGAATTATGATTGTAATTTGTTTTTTTTTTAAATTTCGAATTATCATCCGTAAATTAATTTTGAATTGGTGATAAAATTAGTAATGTAATTTGAATTATGGTAATCTTATTTTATTATTTTTTTTTAAAAAAATTCGAATTAATATTTTTTTTAATTCGAATTAATATATTTTTTTAATTATGGTATTTTTTTTTTGAATTCGAATCAATATTTTATTTGATAATAAAATTTAAATATTGGTCATGTTTTACTTGATCCATGTTTATCTTTATTCGATAATCATCAATGTTTTTGTTTTGAATCAGTTTATCTTTATTCCTAAGAGATATATATATATGATTTAAGGGAGTAGTTATTATTATTATTATTATTATTTTAATTTAAAACAACAGTTTTAATTTAATAAAAAAAGCAGTTTTTTCCTTAAAAAAAAGTTATACTTAAAAGAGTCAAAGACTACGTAGTTATTATTATTTTTACGGGGCTCGCAATGATAGAACTGTCATACACGGATACAACTCTCCTCGTGGGCCAACTCCATAAACCATAACTGCACAATTCCAAAAATTTGCAATAGGGTACAAATCATCAGGCAAGTCCATGTAATGGTTCGCGCCACAATGTCCACCGGTCCAGGTGATACGATCAATTGCTTGATCCAAGCCTCCGTGATACAAATGTATTTACTCTGGTCGATTGGCCTTAACCTCGTTCACAATTAAATACCGAGCTTGTATCCAATTGTCTTGCCCACCTAATAAATTAAACAACAAAATTTTAAGTAAAATCACTGGAATATAATGTGACACTTACTTTATGCAAAGGCTTACCTAAGAAAAAGTCTGCAACACATCGAAATTCACAATTTCCGTCACCCATTACATTGTTCCAATCCTCCACAAATGGTTTGATGATATCGGGAAGCCCATAAAGGTAAGGAAAATCTGAAATGTCTCTTCCTCCTGATGAATAACGAATTATTAATTTTGTAGTTAACATAAACATCAAAGTATAGCAAAATAAACAAAAAATTACAAAAACATAGAGAACCCTTACCTCGACCTCCATTACGACCACCATCACCACGTCCCCCATTACGACTGCGACGCCCACGAGTACCACGTGTATACTCCCATGCACTACGATTACGTCGTGTACTATTTGATTGTGGTCTCCCTCTAGTAGTTGTGTTCCTAGGCGGCTCATTAACATCAAATTGATCGGAATGGAGATGTTCATCTATTAGGCGAGATACAGAACGCATGATTGCCGGGTCACTTCTACTCACCTCACGCACAAGACTCTCAAAAAATCGACTTTCCTGTGACTGATGATCGGGGTCATCTAATGGAGTCGGAACACTACCATCCTCACCAATCACTAGTGTCCTATAAAAGGGGTGCACTTGGTCTAAGTAGAAGTATGTCCCCGAATCAATGACACGACGTATATCACATGCACAAGGAATCTGATAAGTCGTCTTATAAACACATCCACACAGAACATTCACCTCATGACTTAACTCTGTCATTCTTTTCTTCTCATTCACCAACAACAACATACAATGGTGGGAGGTACGTCCATTAATATGTTGTAATGGCATAACATCATATATCCGCCCATGACTGCGTCGACTGCGCTCAAGTGATTGCTTAATCTGTGTGACCTGATCTTCAATTGCCTTGTTTACCTTGGCCCATACAGAATCGAGAGAACCAGTTGAAGTTTCCAACCACCCCTTCAAAGATGAATGTGCACTTTCCACTCTACAATTGGTGACATTGCCGAAGTGAAGCACACCATTGGTCCAAAATTTCACAAATTTCTCCTTATGATTGTTTAACCAAGTGTCCTTCACATAAGAAATCACAGCAGGAAATGGTACATACACTAGTAGAATAAATGTGATGGGAAGCGGTTATAGGCAAGCGGTTTACAAAATCCGCTTCCCATTAGATTAATAAAAAAAAAGAGGGAAGTGAAATGGCAAGCGGTTTTGGCGCGAACCGCTTTCCTTTTAATTAATGGCCAGAGGTTTGGCCTTGAACCGCTTACCATTAATTAAATTAACAAGCGGTTCAAGGCCGAACCGCTTACCATTTTTTTTAAAAAAAAGCGGGATATACACACCCTTTTCTCCTCCCTGCGAAATTTCACCACTTCACTTATTCGTTCTCACTTCACTCCTCCTCTCTGTCTCCCGCCTTCACTCATCCTCTCTGTCTCCCTCGTCCTCACCTCTCTTCTCACTTCTTCAAATTCCGGCCACCACCACCACCACTCCATTCATATTCATTTTTTTTTTATTTGGCTGCGTTTGGGGGTCGTGGGTCGAGGCTGGTGGTGGTGGTGGGTCGAGGCTGCTGCGGGTTGGTCGAGTTTGCTGGTGGTTGCTCGAGGCTACCGGTGTTTGGTGGTGGTGCATGTTTGAGGGTGTTGTTCAATCGAGCCCAAGCACGCATTCTTCAATCTTCAATCTTTGTCTTTCTCACTCTCAAATTAGGGTGAGTTCTTGCTAAATTTTAGCTTCATATGTATTAATTAGTATTAATTGTTTGGTATTCCAAAATTTCAAGTTAGGGTTTCAAGTAGTTAATCCAAGTTTCATATGTATATATATATATTGTTTGAATTTGAGTAGCTTTGAATGAAATTTATGAATAGAGTATATATTAGTTAACATTTTAGTTTGTCAAATGTGGTTAGTAAATTGCAATGTATGAATATAATGGATTGCTATATATATATATATATATAAGTAAACTTAGTTTGATTTTGTATGTATGTTAATTTAATTATTAGCCCTATTAAATGAATGAACTTGTTTATTGTTGAATGTCAAATAAATGAAAATAATAATTGAATGCTTGCATCATCATTTGCCTAGATACCCGTTCGAGTCTTTCTTAATAGGAGAAAGTCTTGAATAGTCCCCAGTTGGGACTGTTCTTGGACGTTTAATCTCACTTAGGTAGTGAATGTATGTCTCTTTTTCGATTTTAAGGAATATCCGGGCTTCTCATTTTCTCACCATGTTCTCTAGGTACATATGTAGGTAAGTTATTACCTACATCGTGTACTTGGAGAACTGGGGGGAAATGCTGCCGGATTTTCCTTAAAATTGAAAAGTTGACATACATTCACTAGTGAGATTAGACGTTCAAGGATGGGTTAGGTTGGAGTGATAAGGACCTTTTGGGAGCATTCATTTTTACGATATATGGATGATATATATGCTATGTACTTTGATTACATAATATATGTTACATTTATCATTGTTTGAAATGTGTTGGTATGTTTAAAGGCAATTTAAAGCGTCAATGGATCGCGGTTGGATGTATGGTAGACGTGATACATTGGAATTTTTTAATGGGGTTCAAGAGTTGTGCAAGAGTGCTTCACAGTATCAGCTTAGAACGGGTGTCAATTACCTTTATTGTCCTTGTGTCAATTGTAATAATGTCATAAGGGTCAATAGTGTGGATACCGTCATGGCTCATGTACAATGTCATGGGTTTAGGCCTTAATATCATGTTTGGGTTTGGCATGGTGAGAAGGGATCGTATAGGGAGAATGTTTTTGGCAATGAGACGCATGTTGAAAGTGCCGAGATTCATGTTGAAGAAGAAAATGGGAATGATGATGGTGGTGAAGGGGATGACACTAAGGATGGTGGTGGTGATGATCACTTGGATGAGATGATGCGTGATGTTGAAGGTGAATTTGGTGACCGCCCTGATGTATTTGAGTCATTATCAGAGGCTGCCAAAAAGCCTTTGTATCCCGGGTCCAAAAAATACACAAAACTCTCAGCCGTGCTTACACTATTTAACATTAACTCTAAGCATAACTGGAGTGACACTAGTTTCACTTCTTTGTTGACTGCGTTATGTGATATGTTGCCAGATGGGAATGAACTTCATAATTCCTACTATTATGCAAAGAAACTAATGT